TAATCAATTCTTTTTTGGGAGGAGGTAGGGAGTGTCCAGCCTTAGAGATCCTCAAGAGTATCCAAAAGACTGCTTAACATTATATTACTTGTAATAATAATAAGAAAACCTAGGATATTATTTTATAAATGATTTTTTCATAATATTTTAGAGGGGGTTGCTCACTGGAACCACCCCCAAATTCCTACTCCTTCTAGGACTTTGTCATAACTCAAGAGCCTTGAGATTAGTAGGAATAAAAATATAAAATAATCTAAAAAAAATATAAAACAAAGATGAAAGAAAATAATAAAAAATATAGTTACAACTACAAGTGTAACTATAATTCAAATTTGTAGATATTACCACCTTTGTCAAGTGTGTGGTAATTTCCATCAGTATTATTCTATTATAAGTAGACACATGATGTAATTGGCTATAACAATGCATCATGATGTCATGGGGACATAGATAATTGTATTTAATCTACTACAATATTCTCATTACATCATGAGAAGAATTAGTATTGTAGTACATTAAATAAACATTCTAGAATATTCTAAGAATGCCCCCAAGGGGGACTCTGGAATATAAAAGGAGGCCATTTGTGGCCTAAGATTGGTTCCTCAGCATATTCACCCACAGCATACTTAGTAAGTACAGTGAATATTCTCCTCCTACTTTTAGAGTAGTTATCCCAATCCCAATCATCCTTTTACTACTGGAATTATTAGTGTGTAACTTTGAAATTCCCCTTTCATCCCTCACTAAAATTCCTTATAAAGCAGTTGCTGCAAGACTACCACCTCTGACAAGTAGCCAATCAGCTCAAGTGCTTGCCAGCTGCTTCTTAGCAATTATTATTGCTTTAAAATCCAAACTATAACAATTTATTAATTGTTATAATCTCCTGTTATTTAGTTCATTAGAAACAAATAAGCTTAAAGGAGTGTGGACTTAACCTTTGTGGAATTTGGACCACATATAAAGGGTGAAAAAGAGTAATCTTTTTCTTTGATAGTCCTTCAGCACAGTGATAGCACCTGGTTTTTATATTATTTAAACCAGTGTAGCATACACAGAGCTGACAAAATCAGAGCAGTACCTGAAGGCAGTACTGATCTGATAGCTTTTTAGGTATAATACTTAATAATGGAAATTGCCTTCGAATAGACTAATTTATTCAGTTGAGGATAATTATAACAGCTGAATAAATTATTGGAAGAGCATTCCGATGTTAGTTTTTCCTCTTAAAGTAAAATGTTTCTTAATCGCAAGAGTAATGGAAATACATTACTTTTGATAACAAGAATAAATTTCTTGTCTTCAGAAATTATTAGTTAATCCTTTTTGTTCGATGGGTCTAATGAAGAATCAACATCGATAGACTAGTTAGTTTAATTATCTCTGTTTCTTTAAAAGAAAAAGGCAATTAATTCTTTTCCTTTTTACTCACCGACTAACGGCAGAAAGATACGAGTAATAAGTTTGCGTTCAATAGGCTTGTTCGAGTAAGAGCTAAAGATTTCAATAATGATGTTGTAGAACCAAGAATTAGAACTCGATTGTTCTCTTGATTCAACTCATCGAGACTCACCTAGAGCTCGATGATCGATCATGATCATCATTTATCTCTTTGCTAGTGACATCAATGACATCACTGCTCGACACATAAGCTTTGATCACACCTTTCTCTTGTTCAACTGCTGAACAGCTTATTTCTGCTGATAATCACAAGTTTTTTGATCAGCGCTAAGAATTTATTTTTTTTTATTCAGGAAGTTTATCAATCATGCGATAAACTCACCTGATGCTCTCCTCTTTTGAGTGATCAGACAAGGAATTGAATTCCAACAGTCACTCACTGGAACCACCTTCATATCTCTACTGGATCAGAAGTTACACAAATCAAAGATGTCACATGGAGAATCATAGGACTAGAGGCACTTGGTTGGAGGGTATATTGCATAATGCAAATTGAATTCCTTCATTCCATAATGAATTCCTTTTATTTTTACAGAACCACAAGTTGGCCACCAGTTGTAGTTAAATTACCATTTATTCAGCCACAGGACAGATGAATTCCTTTCTTACAGCTTACACATAAAAGGGATGCATTGTAGATAGTCTAGCCAAAATCCCTCAGTATTCTCAGGTACAGGGCAGCTAAAATTTCTCACTCAGGGGGTCACTTGGGGCTAAAATCCCTCATATTTTACTACATGAGGAGGCCTCTGCCTGCCAGTTGTTTTACTCCTCATCCCACTCAGGACACAATTTTGTGAGCAGACCTGTCACAGAATACATATATTTGTTACACAAGTGGTTTCACACATAGTACAGTTCACAGTTGAAATATATACACAGTCCAGTTTCACAAACATTATACAGAAGAACCAGTCCTTTGTTCCAGTCCTGCTTGAAGCATAGTGCTCCCAGACCCCTTTGGGTTCAAGCAGCAGTGGGCCGCTACACTACGCTTTTGGCCCAAAACGTGTAGTGTAGCTGCTCTTTTTTTGCATCAAAAAAATGTAGTGTTAGCAACGGTGTAGCGGTTAGTGTAGCGCAACGCAGCGGAATTCCCGTTAGCATTAAGTGTAGTGTAGCGGAATTCTGCCACAAAACCGCTAACACTATGCGTGTGGGCCGTAAAAAAGGGCCCACTATGCTGCGCTACAGTGTTTTTTTAGCTGTTTTTGGCCACTTTTGCCGCTAAAAGCGCTGTAGCACAGCTTATGTGTGGCGAAAATTCGCCAAAAATAAGCTCACACTACAATTTTTGATGCAAAAGAAGCGTAGTGGCCCACCGCTGGTGTTAGCTTATTTTTAGCGGATTTTTGCTACACTAGGCTGCACTACAGCACTTTTAGCGACAAAAGCGGCCAAAAAGCGCTCAAAAGCGCTGTAGCGCAGCGTAGTGGGCCCTTTTTTTGTGGCCCACACGCGTAGCCTTAGCGCTACGGCTAGTGTAGCGGCCCACTGTTGGTTCAAGAACCACCTCTATTACATTATACATATGCAACATCAAGGAAGAACACAAGCATCAAGACATCAACACGAGAAACAACATCACCAACAAGATCAATCCTCAACAATTATACACTCATCTTTGAACATAATCCTTTATCATTAACTAAACTGCCAAGCTTACCTTGGTGGTCTTGTTTTCTGATAAAATAGAATGGCAGAGTTTGCAGCTCATTTGTCCCTTTCTCCATTCAGCAAAAAGGATCTTACAATCACTTTTTGAGTCTTACACTGGAGAATCTGGAATGATGTATAGTTTTCCAGGAGCTTTGACACGGTAAATCTGCTCATCTGATGTCACATTCACTTGTCATCTATGTCACTAGTTTCTGTGAATGGCATTTTGTGTCATTCATTTTTGTGATGTTATTTGATTATTAAGGCCCCGTTTGGCCGCCCGTAATTTGTAATTTTGAATTGAGGTTTGGCAGGAGTTTGTGCAAAACTTGATATTGTTTTATATCACACAGTCTGAATCCGCGCCAAACCTTAGCCAAATCACAAATCGTGATTTGCGGCCAAACGGGGCCTAAAGGCTAAAGCTACTACTTATTATTCTGAGTTATTTATGGAAATGTTGCAGGTCAGCTTGAATTTGTAACAGTAGCAAGCTGAAACCTGAACTACAGTTGAAAGTGTTTTTATTTTTTATTTTTGCAGAAAGGCAGATGGATGGGGCTGATGCCAAGCGGAACACATCCAAAAACAATGTTTTTGGAATCAATTCCTCCCAGAATTACACAGAACATCTAATTTAGGTGATTACGGTTAAATGAATCAAGTTTATGGCTGGGGTTTAAGATGCATGAAACAACCCTCTAAATAGGAGGTATCAAATATAGCCAAATATATCATTATTTAATTGACTGGTTTTAAAAAAAACCCACCATTTTTAAAACATTTTGGTTCTTTATTTAACCCCTTTGGGGGTCCATTCATACAAGGTATCAAATATAGGTAAATCCACCATTTTTCAAACATGTTGATTCTTCATCACACCCCTTTGGGGACCCATTAGTGAAGAAAATATTTTTGAATAATTGACTGGTTTCTAATGGTGGATTTCTTATATTTGATACCCCCTATTTTTGAAAAATTGACTGGTTTCTAATGTTGGATTTCTTATATTTGATACCCTCTAATTCAATAAATAACAACTAAAAACATTGAAATACTTTTGATGGTCACAGAATAAAAATAAAGAATTTTGAAATAGTGGAGCAAATCCAATCAAATAAAGGGTTATCACAACTGGTTTAGAGATATTTGAAAAAAGAAATACAGAAAACCTTGTTCTATTCAAGGAAGATGGATCATAAAGTTTAATTTTTGGACAACCTAAAAACTTTCCTTTTTTAATTCTTTCTCAATTGAATATCTAATACACCAATTTATTGATTGACTTGATGAGAAGAATTTGTTGATTTTTAAAGACTTCTTTCCAAAGAATTGGATTTTCATTCTTCAACCAATACCCCAAAAGATTGACTGAATATTTAGATAATTGTATATAATCATTCACAAGTATATTATTCTGTAAAATCTTTGCAATGAAAACTTGTACCTCATCCAAGATTGGCATCTTACTGATGTTAGATGCATCAAGAGCTGATTTTGGGATCATGCCAATCACTGGAAACAGGTTCCCCACACTGGAATAAAGTAATTTCTTGGAGAACCATACTAGAAACTTATATTGTGAAAGTTTCTCAAACTTATTTCCCAACTGACCATTCAAGTTTGTGACAATTAAGTCTGAGTAAAATTGAAGATTTTTGAAAAACCTGATAAAATTTTCTTTTATGTTTGGAATTTGAAAGGTTGGAAAGGGCTTTATTCTATTGTTTGGACTAGTTAATGGGTGTATACCCAACATTCCTGGATACAAGCCAAATCGGATGATTGCAAGTTCTGGATGTGATGTTATTTCATGGATTTCCCAACCTTTATCCATCACATGGAAGAAATTGAAAACTCTTATGTAAATTGACTTTATGATTGATTCACTGCTTTCTGGTATGATTAAATGTTTCAATAATGCATTTTGAGTCATCAATTCTCCAACCTTCCTATTTATTTCAAGTTTGAAATCTCCAATCTGGAAATCTGGAAAGTTTTGCTGATCAGAAATTTCTCTTGTGATCAAAATATAAACCCTTGCCCAATAGTAAACATCCTTCTTGAATTTGATGTCCCATTCTTCCTTGTGGGTGTGTTTGAACCAGATTCCTGCAATAGAAATTGATGTGTATTCCAAGGCCTGTTCTGGATATCTCAACAAATTTATCATCAAAACCTGAATCACCCCAAATTTACTTTCATCAAAATTTGTGAGCTTTGTCTTTCCCATGACAGGAAGGCCACTTTCAGGATTGAAAACTTCTCCAAAGAGCCACAGAACCATCTTCTGGCGATCTGGGACTTCAAAAGTATTTCCTTTGAAGTGATTCCAGAGGATTTTGTGGATGAAGATGAGTGATTGATGCAAATCTTTCAAAACTTCAAATATCTTATCAGTGGCATATTCCCCCTTTGAATTCAAGGGAGCTATCAAATACATGTGAGGATGAACATCAGAAATCTGGGCAGTCCCAAATGACCAGTTTCCTATTTGATGTATGACTGCATTGCTTGATGAATCTTTATGCTGCTTTAGTATGCTTCCCATGGCATTTCTGTAGTATTTCATGTATTGATCAGCTATGTGAGCATATGAATCTTGCTGAATTTTTTTCAACAAATTGTTAAATTCCCATTCAGGTAATCCAATGTCAGATATGATTGATGCATCTTTCTTTGGATTATCTGGATTTAGAATTTCCCTAAAGGTCTGGTCCAGATCATCTGATAATTTGATCTGGGGATCCATCCAGAACTGAAACTTAGAATTAAAGTGGGTAGTTCCAGGTTCCATATATTTTCCTTTCTTTCCTGGGTGCATATGCTGATCTTTGTGCGGCCTTTTAGCTTGATGAACCTCAAAGGTTTTTGTTGGCCCTTCATCCATGCCATTAGATTCCAGCGGCAGGCACATGTGGTGAATTTCTTGCCTGTGGCCAAATTCTTCTTGGGCCAAGTTATTGGTCATGGAGTTGGGCTCCAGAATCTCTGAAAAATCATTTTTTCCTTGCTTCTGTACCTCTTTGTAAACATCCACCTGATCTCTCTCTCCTGGGAAAGTGGGTCCATACTAGCAGCCAGCTCATCAGCAAAGTCTGCCAACCAGTCATCCACTGGTGAGAGTGCTGCCATTATTATTTTAAAAAAGGGTATAAGACCAAGCTGTAAAAAGAAGTAGACCATGATGAGCGTAGAAGAATTTGATACCTTATTCTTCTTGTGTTGAACAGATGAAATATGATGTAGACTGAAGGATTTGGCCTGTGGAAAGCTTGAGTAATCCCCCCCAGAAGACACTGTATGTTGTTGGAATTCAGACCAGATTTGTAGGTGCTGATGAAAAACGATGAGCTCTTGCTCTGTTCTGAATCCAATTTAGGACTAAAATGGCCTCCTAACTCATGACTGTTGCATGTCTCACTCAGGATGCACTATAAACCTCTTCAGGTTACAAAATCTGTCTTGACCAGGGGCCCCAGTGGAGATGGCACTTAGGGAAATGCATTTGGAGGGTCCAGTACAAAAACTTGGTCATTACTGCACCCTCTACCTGCATTACTGGTGGCTGGAAGTGTGAAGGGAGTGTTTTGAAAATGTGTCAGGTGCCAAGTGCCATATCTGGGCCTCAGTGTTGAACCTCACATTCTCAATGGCCCACCAAGAATAATCCCTTGAAACATAAAAAATAGTATTTGCCGACCTGATACATCCCAACAAAAGCAATCTTTAAATTGTTATGTGTATCTTTTCAAAGTTAAATCCAACTTGCCATAGAGCCCTCTAAAAACTCATCAAATCCTTTTCCTTCTGTATGAATCATATTTCAGCTTATGAGACCTCTCATTCCTCTTCCAGATATCAGTTCTACAAAAGTGTCAGATTTGAATTTCCTGATTGGGTCCTAATTAGTTATGGATGCACTAGTGGTATGCCAAATGAGCAGCAAAACAAATGAAAACCTGATTTTTGGAATGAAACAAAGGACCAAAATTGCCCATACAACCCCTGAAATGGGCCTGAATAATGCAGTACTTGCCTGAATCCCCATCTACAGGGGACATGAATAATATGCTGGATCAGGTAGCATCAGCCTTTCTACTGATTGATAACACCATCTGATATGCCTCAGGATGTTGCTTCAGCAATTTTGGTGATTCACAGAAAGATTTGAGCAACTAGGGAATTATTACATTGTCAGTCTGGGTGTGTGGCCCACTGTTGCCATGTTTTTGTTTTTGTTGAAATTTTGCTCTGACATCTCTCTGTCTCCTTTTTCTCTTGAATGTCACTCCCTTGTCACCGGTATTTTTTATTTTATTTTGATTCAATATGCCTCAATACCAGCTCCCACATTTTGCGCATTTTGTATCTAGATCATTTAAACTCTCTAGTTACTAAAGAAATAAAAAAAACTATTGGTTCTTTATTCTTTTACGGGCCTTTCCTGAAGGAGCACCTTAGCCCTTCTTCAGTCTCAGTTTTGAAGCACTTGAGCCCTTCCAACTTGAGTCAAAAAGTATCTTTTTCTCCGGCCTTTTCGCCTAAAATTCAACAGTTTTTTTGGAATGAGGACAATCTTCAATCTCTCTCTGTTTCTTCTTTTGATGAGTGACCAGAATTTGATACTCACAAACAATCTCTGGGTAACTCTCATCCTCCTTCATTTTCCCAAAATCTTGTGAGATGTCCCATAACTCTCATCCTCATTCATTATCCCATTATCCAGTGAGATATCCCAGTTGACTCAAATTTTCAGACTGATATGTTGGGTCATGGTGGCCAAGACAGGGACAGGTGAGGTATTGACTGAAGAATCCACAGTGTCCTTGTTGCAGCCTGAGGAAAAATCAGGATTGTTGACTGTTAGAATACAAGATGCCACAACTGCATACACAGGATATGCAGTTGTGCAAATCCAAACACGATTCTCACCATCATTAAGCCCCCAAACCTATCCCAGTCTATTTGTCAGATACTCATAAAACCACCACTCTCAACCGCAACTTATAGTTTCTCTTTCCTCACACACTTAACCAAGACTGCTTGTGAAGAAAGAGAAACTAGTAAGTAAAAACTCAATTCTCACCACAACCTTGCAACCAGGACTAACACTTGGTCTTTTCTCTCTTTTCCTTTCATCAGCATCTATTTCCCTTCTTCTCAAATCATAGATTGCCTCTTGTGTGTCCTTCAACATAAAAAAATTATTCCAAATCACTCGCTCTGCTTGTGCAGGTATGCCCTACTCATATTATTTCTCTCATATCTTCTTGTTTGTTTTTCATATCTATTTCAAAACTCTTTTCTAACAGTTGTGTTTTTCATGTTCCAACCACTACTATATTAGGTGTGTGTGTGTGTGATATCAGGTGTTGTCGTTGTCAGTGGAACAACTCCGACTAGAGATCATTTGTTTGGACCTGGGTACCTGTTCATTTTTTCAAGAAAATAGATACCATGTACTGCACCAGGCACCTCCCGGCGGGTACCGGCAGTACTTGTGGCAGGTACTGCGGGTACCTCCCCTCTCTTTTTCACTTATTTCCACTAGCCATCTCAACATTACTTCATATCCTGTACTAGATATGTGGTAAAATGAAACTGGATGTGTCTTGTTTTTTTACACTATTTTAACAAAAAAAAAGGAAAGAATATTGCATATCCAGTACTGGATATGAAGTACTGTTGGAAGTGTATAGTCAATGTTTTCAATTTTTTCATATTTATTATAAAATATGCAGACCTCCCACCCAGCCTATGTTAGGGAAGTGGGTGGTACCTCCTGATTTTTCCCCCAAAAACAGACACCTGGCACCTCCTGGCAGGTGCACAGTGGGTGTGGGAGGTACCCCCCAAGCGGTACTAGGTACCTAGCAAGGAGTACCGCGGAATGATCTCTAGGCCAAACTTTGGTGTGTGCCCAGTGGGGCTTGCAACACCATACTAAAAATTTCTAGGGAAGTTGAATAGATGCTATTCTAATCACCACAGCCCCGGTGTATGCCAGACAAAGATATACCAACTTAGAAGGCAAATCCCATATAATTCATAATGATGAACGTACATATTTAGTCAGTAAAATTTACTGTTTAAACAACAAAACAGTCTATATATATGAGCCAACAAAGAAACACGAGTTATCTATTTAAAGCACAGGAAGTGGGGTAAATGAATCTCCACAACTCAAAACCATCCAACAAAGCAACAAACACCCTGTCCCAATGGGGTGGGGAGTGGAGAGCGATAACATAGAAGAAAGACAGGACAAAACAAAACAAAACAAAGAACCTGACAAGTTGAAGGAGGAAAGAGATTTTAAAAAGAGGGGATAATTGGGGCAATACACAGGAAGAAGAGGGGAGAGAGAGAAGAGATTAAGGGATAGACTTGAGGATAACACCCTGAGGATCCAAGAAGTGGATCTGGACGCCCTGTTCAGCCTCATAGGTGATCAGCAGTTTTTCACAACAAGTGCCCGAGGCCCAAACAGCACATCTCTCTTCCGCTAAAGCATCACCACCGATCACAAAACCCCCAAAAAGAAAAGTAAGCCAACAACACCTAAAGAAAACAAGAAAAACACACAGAGAGAGAGAGAGAGACTGACGTTGATGATCATGGGGGTTAGCATAGATCACCAGATTCCCATCGCCTCCCTGGAAAGCGCAGCGAGTTTCGCACCCGGGGTTTGCCCGACTAGCAATCTGTTTAGGCAGATGGCCGAAGAGATCGGAAGCCCAAAGGACATGGCCATGTGGCTGATGAGGATGAGGGCCCCGATGTATGACCAAGTTGCTGGTCACCGGGTCGAGGAAGATGTAAGCTGGCGGCGGGAGCGGTCGGGCTGGGATCATGGGCGGGGGATGATGGACCGCGTGGCTGATGTTATCCAATACCGCACCGATCCGAGGCGGGATCGGTGGCGGCTGGGCTCGGGTTCGTGTAGGACAGATACAAATGAATTGGTTGGGCTGTGTCATAAATCCAATCCGACCGGACTCATCAGCCAAAGAAAGAGTGAAGAGATTGACCTGAACAACTCTCATACCGCTAGTTCAAAGGATCCTTTACCAAAAACGTATTCGGAGGCCCAGACCAACGAGTTACATTCGCTCCACAGACTCAAATAAGGCGACTCGTCCGACACCGTTAGAGCGGCCTGATTGCCGACTTGGAAACAGCCCTCGAGGAATTGGACTGGGTCCCACAAAAGCTTGCCTGTCCCAGCCTCGCGGATCGTCAGATGGCCGTTATCCTCCAAGGACAATCGGGCCCCGATCACCGAGCCGGCCGAGCCTGAGGTCCAAAGCACCCGAGATGTTGCGTTACAGAGCACTCGCAATTCGCCAGTCGTCTCCAGCGAGATCCTCGCCCGGTCTAACACAATCGGACCGTCCGTACTGGTCAGATTGAGCTGGGAGCCCTGGAATCTGAATTTTCGCGCCGGTCGGTCTTCAACCCCAATCAAGAATGCAGCCCTGCCCTCAATAAAGTCTTGTTGAATAACGCAGTTTTCGACTAGACCTGGTTGCGAGGCTTTCAGGAAAGCCATCGGTGGTGCATTCAACGGTTCCTGCATCCCTGATAGGTCACCAGTAAACGTAGTCCCTGCGGTAACTCTGTTCCCAACCACCTGTTTTTTTACGTCGAATCCGATCCAATCAGTCGGTTTTCATCATCAGTTTTTGTTTCCTGGTCTTGGCCAAGTCAAAGCTGACCTTACCTCGAAATCCCGGCAGCCTGACATTCCAATAGCATATCCTATAGAGTTGTGGTGTACATGCAGATTGTTTTTTTTATAAGACGTCTATTGTAGAAATGATTTGATCATAGAAAATATAACAATCCCATACCAAACCTGCCCGGTCCAAATGTATTGTCAATAACTTTGCCACCAAAAGTGTTTTCGTTCCAAGTTGGACACCAAGCTAGCGGCCCAATTCTACCATATCAAGTCATTAGCTCCCCAGCAAAAGCCAAGTTCCACGTCGAAACTAGGGAAAAAAAAACAAGACTCACCCTATGCCCAGTTTGATGTGCGCCCCGGTAGATTTGATGACGTTATTGAAGACTCTAGTGTCGGTGTAGTCGCACGAATAAGGTCCCATATCGACCCTGAACAACATGGCATAGTATTTATTATTTCCCCATAGTTAATATATAAAGAATCGTACAGAAAACACTCTTACATGTTTATCCCGCCCTGCTCAGACACGAAAGACAGCAGTGGGGAGAAGATATTAAAAAAGGTGTTTAACGACATGATTGATTAATGATCATAAATAAAAAAGACATTGCTCACCAACAAGTTCTGTTTATCAGCAATGATTGTATTTCCTATGCACTAAATTGACCATTGAAAAAAAAGGAGACAGGGATGATAAATGAGCTGGGATTGAACTAGGAAGGGAAATTAAGTTTTAAGGAGGAAAGAAAAAGCAGACCATTGTTCCAGGGGCGCAAAAGAGAACGATTGCGCCATCGGTGGCATCGACGATTTCGTTGTTTGCCTGGTCATGGAGAGAGAGGATGATAATGAGTGTGTGCGTGTGCGAACAAGCAGCCTAAACATGTCCCAGTTCTGTCAACTGGTGATCCTCTACTCACGATCAATCCGTTACGACAAGCTATGCTGAGGCCATCTGCCCAAGGACCTTGAAACAAACAAAATGTTGGCTCATGCTTGAAAGCTGTTGTGATGGATTGGAGATCGGGAGGGGGCGACTCACCTTTGGGTGCTGGTAGCCCGGCTGGTCCGATCTTATTTCCAATCACCCGGCCGCCCTCGCAATTATCGAAAACCTACTTTGACCAAAACACAATCTGGTCAATCATCAAGTCCACGGAATAAGAAGAAGTACAATGAAGATTTTTTTATTCAAGAATGTGTATATATAAAAATGAAGAGAGAAAGAGAAAGAAAGAAATCCTAACTTGTAGAGAAGACCAACCGCGGGGATGACGGATGACACAGTACTGGACCACCGGATCTTTTCCCTCTCTTCCTCCACAGGCAATCAACGGGCCTCCGCCGTCGACCCATCCTTTATCCGGCCGACGTCCGTCGATGGTCAGATGAGAGAGCTTGACATGGCTGGTGTTGTGGAAGAAGATCGCGGTGGCTTCTCCTTCGCCAACGCTATGTACTTGGGCATGAAGATTAGGATCCGTAGGGTACCCTATGTGTAATCACAAAGTAGTATTTTTTGTTTTGATCAGAAAACGATCGTTTTGTAATGAGAGTGTGATAATATTGGGTGAAAGAGGATATGTACCTTCGGTGGCCAGTTCGGCATCATTGACGGCGATCTTGAGGATAGCTTCGAGTTCCCAGATCGATCCTTGGGCGAGCAGGACGACTGTGCCCGGGCCGCCGTTCTCGAAGAGCGAGCTAAGATAGGCCGCCGGCCGGTTGACGAATGCCGGGGGCAGATCTTCTGGACGGACTGCCCGTCGTACCACCACCGGACTATTGGTCATCCTCCCTAGTCTTCCTATGAGTTCCAATTATTTCTCTTCGGTTGGGTTTTTGTGTGGTTGTCTTGGTTTTTCGGGTGGTGAGCTGGGTGTGATACAACCAAGTATTAAGCTTGATATTTATATGTTGTTGTTGTTGTTTTGTGCTTCCCTTGCGAGTTGACCGGTCAACAGACTGATGGATGCAAGGAGTCAAGTCAGTTAAGTGACGTCATAGCCAACCGACGACCACCCTCTCCTGGAATTGAATCCTGATCTGTCGAACAACCCCCCAGCCTGTTTCCCATTCGTCCACTCGCCCCTTCTTCATCTCCAACTGATCTCCTCAGCTGTTTCGACAGCTCCTCAATATTTCAGCTCTCACGATTCCTCTCATCCAAGTGTATGCAGCTGCGGTGATCGAGTTTCTAGTATGGATTTAGTTTTCTAATTTGTTTCTGTTTAGGATTTATGGAGGTTCTTTCGATTGTATGTATCTGTTGGAATTTTACCTTCTTTTCCACTCATCCCTAAAATAACCTCTTAAAAATTCTCTTTCTTTTTCTTTCTAATCACTCTTCATGAGACCAGATTATAGTATTAAGTAGCATGTTTTTTGACTGACTGATCCCACTTTTGTAGTCTCCATTCAAGGTCAGTAGTAGTTCTTTTTCGTCAACTCATGACTCTGTTATTGCTTCTTCTTTTTTCTCATTATTGTGAT